CAGCATTTGGTTCTTGTTTTCTCGCTCTTCTGCAGCAGCTCTACCCGGAGGCCATGGACGCTTTGTGTCTAGTTATCCACATGGGGAGGGTAGCAGGGCAGCAGGCAATGCTGGGGGTGCAGGGGCATAACCATCAGTATCAAAAGTCGTCCCTCTACCAATTGGTTCTGGGCCACCCCAAGACCCGCAAAGACCTGGGACCAGGACCTCTGGACTCATTCTGGGCCCCCACCTGGGGGGAGTCTGAGCCCATTCACTGGCCCAGGGCTGGGTGGGGGGTGGGCAAGGCTGGTGGGAGTTCAGTAAACCCATTGCTTGAAATTGGAAGGTCCCCATTAGATGCTGCCTTGATTTGGCTGCGTCACTTTAAAAGGCAGAATCCTAACAAGAGTGATGCTAATGACTCAAGTAATCTAAAACGAGCCCTTCGGAGAAAGGGCAGAGGAATTGGAATGGTCCAGACACGATGAGGTTGGGGGCACCCAGGTAATTGCTGCGCTCCCAAAAGCCTCCTCTCAAGATGACACCGGCCGGCTCACCTCCCTCGTCCTCAGAGGGCAGAGCAAGAAATTAGCTCAAATTGGAGCTGGAAAGATTTAGGTTATGTGTAAGGAGGAACTTTTTAAACCCTGAAATATGCTACCAAGAGAGGCCGTGGGTTCTCAAGAGAGTGGCTAAAAATAGCTTTTTCTTTAAAAATAGGTCTGGGCAAACTTTAAACATAGCATCAGCTCAGCTTCTCGGCGCTGGTTTTAAGCGCAGGTGCACCTGGCCGTGTGGGGTCCCCCGGGCTGCAGGCACGAGGACGAGTCAGCCTTTGGTCTCTGTCGTGACCAGCAGCTGGATATTTTAGACATGTGTACATAAGGGATTTATTTTTTCACCTGCCCCCAGCTGACTGGTGTCATGAAATACCAGGCTCTAGGGTTTCAAGGTTTTCTTTCTGCACATTCCAGGGCGCATGTAAATCGGGTCAGTCCCCACGGCTTCTCCCAGTCTCTCCCAGTTGCCCCGAGTCCTTCCCCAGCCCTGAGCCCGGCTCCCCAGTGCCTGAAGGTTTGCTGGGATGCGATTCATCTCAGGGGTGCCAGGTGCCACCTGCATCTCAGCACCCCGGCTGGCCTGGGGGGACTGTAGCTGCCCAGCCCCGGGCGCCCTGTCCCCTGCCTCCCCAGCAGCCAGAGGGGGCTTTAACCAAGCATGTCTGCTGCTCGCTCCGCCTCCGCCCCTTTACTTCCAGTGATTTCCAATGATGCAATTCCTGCCTGCTGCCCTGGGGATAAAGTCCAGACTCCCTCAGATGGCTTAGGACTTCTCATGGCGTGTCCCCGTTTGTACCTCCAGCAGCACCTCTCACCTCCACGTGCCCCGCCTAACTGCCCGCGACAGCCACACCCAACCTGTGCACTTCTGTGTGCGCCGGCTCCCTGGCTGCCCTGCCCTCCTCCTCCCTCTGACTTTCAACCCTCAGCTTGGATGTTGCCGCCTCTAGGGGCCTTTTCTCACCTCCCCACCCCCCAGAGCCCTGGACCTCCCCCTCCCCGCTTGGCTGCCCTGACACACAGCGACACCCAGTTGGGGTCCGTCCCTCCCATCCCACTACAGCACTGGGAGGGAGGCCCACCTCCCCCAGGAGAAAAGCCTGGTGCACAGCAGACGCTCAGTGTTTGCTCAGTGACTAACCGAATGTCAGAGGTTTCCCTTTGCGACTGTCCCGCTCCATCTAATCCGGCTCCAGCTTCCCCCAGCCCCCCGCCAGCCCCTCTGTGGCTCACGTCCCCGACATGACATGCCTGGAATGTTGGCAAGTCCAGCTCCGTGCCCGACGTCTACAAGAATATTTATTTAGACATGAGCGCTCTCCACGTGTTCTCAGTAATAACTTAGCATCTTTAATAATAAACTGTATTATAAATTAATTAACCGCTACCTCCCTGATATCTCAATTAAATGGAGCATGGCATCCACATAAAACATCTAAACCCTGCAAGAGAGAGCCAGGCCGGAGGCGAGAGGAGTCTGGGATTCAGATGGCCATCGTGCTCCGTGTCCTTAGCTGGCAGCAAGGCCAGGCTGGAGAGGGCTCCCTCAGGAGGGGCCACCGGGCTGCTGGTCCACCCCACCTCGAGGGATAGCCAGGAACCTGCGGTCCCTTCCCCCAGCGACGGAACAAGAGGTGATGTGGGGCACCCTGAGGTGGCCTCCTGTGTGTCCTCCAGACCCAGGAGGCTCCGCCGGGCATCGCCAGGCCGACTCTTCTCTCCCCACCTGGATGCCGCAGCCCCGCTGCCTGGGCTCACTTTCAATTCCCGAGCACGATCTCACACGGCACGCAGCGCTGGCCCGAGTGCCGCATGCACTTGCACGGTGTGTTCATGCTTTTCCACTCTGGAAAAGACTGTTTCGCGCCTTCTCCTCGCTCCCCCCTCGCCGCCCATCTGCCGCCTCACTCTCGGCTGGTGACCTCGTCTCACGCTTGCCGGAGAAGAGGGAAGCGAATCTGCCCAGAAACTGGGATCTCACTTGCAGGCTCTCCCGCCTGGGCTCCCTTGGGCGAGGCGTCCCGGCATGCGTCAGAAACCATCCCCCTGTGTTCTAGAACCTCCCCACCTGCTCGTCTTCTCTCCGCCTTGCTTCCACAGTCGCCCTCTCACTCCTCTGCACTGTGCGTCTCTCCTGCTAGATCATTCTGGATGGGCATGGAAACATCATCTCGCTCCTTTAAAATCCCTGTCTGAACCCCAGGCCTTCTCCAGCTGTCACCCCATTTTCCTGCGTTTCCAGGCAGCATTAGCCTTTGAAAGCACCCTCTGTCGTTTTCTTTTGTCCTCTTCTCGACCTGTTCCAGCTGGCGACCCCGCACTGGTCTTCTTCCTAATTTCCTTCCCCGGCCCCTCGGCATCCTTTGCTGTCCCTCTTACTCCGCTTAAGCACCAGATGTTGCCTCCTCCCTGGCACCTTCCCCTCTCTTCCTACAGTCTCTGTCCAGGTGGTGCCTTCTAGGCACACAGTGTTATTTATCGTCCGTATGCCAGTGACTTCACGCACCTTCTGATGCTCTTGACATTGTCTCTTCATTCTGAGCCCACACCGGCCCCCCGGACTTGACGACAGAATTCGGCTTCCTCAGTCCGATCCACGGAGAGCAGGGCTGGGAATTACGGCAGCTCTTCCTGCCCTGGGTTCTGGGTGGCACCACAGCCGGCCCAGCACTGGCACCTTGGCCAGCATCCCACAACCCCCAATGCTCTGCGGGGCTCCCCAGGGTCCAGGAGAGGCCACACTTACACGTCCGCTCCAGTTGGGAACTCCGTTTTTGGTGGCAAGAGTTGAGAGATCCCGGAAACCACAAAGAGATATTTACAGCTGTGGCTTTCCTGGTGTGAGTCCAAGCCAGGAAGTAATAGCAGCGGCAGGAAGGTCTCATTCATTTAGTCGTCCCTAATTGGGGAGGTGCAGTAACTCAGCAGAAAGTCCCTTTTTAATTCAGCTGACTTGGAAATGATCCTTTCTACCGAGGATTCACAGGACAGATGCTTGGGATGGACCTTGCTTTGCAGAACAAATGTGCTTGTAGAAACGTGGACCAGGGCCAGATTTTTGAAGCAGAATCTTTAAAATGCAAACAGAGAGTTCCACCCAGGTATCTCTGAGTGAATTGTAATTTTCATTTATCGAATGTTCTTAAGGCATAGCCTTTCATATTTGGCAATAAACAGAATTCAATTTAGGAATCGATGCTTTTCTAAATGAAGAATTTGGAAAATTAATTATTCTGCCACCAGGCTGGGTCCAGCTTCTGGGTCTAGCTGGGAGATTTTATATTAAAATGCTGTCATGGCCCTACTGTCCTGATATAAGGAGTGGTCGTTCTCATGAATGTTTTCCTTCATCAGTGGATGCTCCTATGTCTACCACGATCCCATTTTATGCATGAGGAAACCAAGGCACTGAGAGGTCAAATAACTCAGAGAGCATCTGGACGGGTATAGTGAGGAAGGACTCGGAGAAGTTGCAACAACTGAGGGTTTGGAGAGCAAGGTCCAGCCCTCAGAAAAGGGACTACCAGAGAACTAAGGCTGCCCTGCCTCCTTTGGTTGACTCTCCACCGTACCTGTCGTAATCCTCATCTTCCGATCAAAAGGTTTTAGGCTCAGGGGGCTGAAGTGCCTTGCCCACCGTGGCAAGGGGAAAGTGTGGTGGGAGAGGATTCCCGCTCAGACCCTCTGGGATCAGAGTTCTCCAAGCCAGTGGGTTTGCGAGCCACAGAAAAGACATTTCATGTTATTAATACAACCACTGCACACACATACACGTGGATAGAAGCGGAAAGTTTCACGAGACAATATTTCCTCCTGCTACATTTGATGGTATCAGATAGTCCCATCCCATTCCACATTCCATTTTTTTTTTTTTATGGTGGTTGTGCTAAAAATCCATGAAGTTGATTGCGTGACCCACTAGTCTAATGAGTCAAGACCTGCAGTTGAAAAACAGTTTCTAGGCTGCTTCCCTCACATTGACCTTCTAACACAGGTGTGAGCAAACTACGACTCACAGGCTAAATCTGGCCGGATGCCTGTTTGGTGTATAAAGTTTTACCGGAGCACAGCCAAGCTCTTTCAATTACGTATTGTCTGTGGCTCCTTTTGTGCTACAACAGGGGACTTGAGTAGCCGCAACAGAGACCACATGGCCCACGGAACCTAAAATATTTCCTTATCCGGCTCTTTACGGAAAAGGTTTGCTGATGCACACACAGCCCTGACTCTGTGTCTCCTTTGCTTAATTTTTTCCAGGGCTTCCCCTGGCCCTCTGGCCCGAACTCAAGCTCCTTGGCCTCGCTCAGAAAACTGCCCCCATGGCCTCCCACGCTCTGTTCCTGCTGTTCTGTCCTTCCCAGGGGTCCTTGTTCTCCCCCAGCACTAACAAGCAGGCAGGAAAAGCCTAGAAAAGCCCTCCCTCGCTTCCTGACACCTGTTCTGCTCCCTGCCCTGCAGGCCTCCTGGGAATGGTGGCCCACATGATGTACACGCAGGTGTTCCAGGTCACCGTGAGCCTCGGCCCTGAAGACTGGAGACCCCATTCCTGGGACTACGGGTGGTCCTTCTGGTAAGTGGCTTTTCACCTTCGAGGCAAGAGCACCTTCAGGCAGCAGAGCCTTGAGGCAAGCTGCCACTTCAGCAGCTCGGCCCAGTCGGGGAGGGGAGAGAAGGCGGGGTGGGGGGCAGTAGCCGCCCAGAGGTGTTTTGAGACCCTCGAGCTGGGATTGGCAAACATGGCCTGCTGGTCACATCCGGCCCAACACTTGTGTTTATGCAGCCCTCGAGCTAAGGATGGTTTTTACATTTTCAAATGCTTGAAAATAAATCAGAAGACAATACTATTTTGTGACATGGGAAAATAATATGAAATTCAAATTTCAATGTCCGTAAATAAAGTTTTCTTGGAACACAGATACCCCCATTGTTTGCATATTATCTACGGCTGCTTTCGCACTACGGCAGCAGCCTGAGCAGGGAACAAAGTCTGAAATATTTACTGTCTGGTCCTTTGCCGACCCCTGCCTTAGCGACCTGCTCTGGAAGGGGAAATGGAAGCTGGCAAGACGTGGAGTCAGGCGAGCCGTGGAGGGTTCTGGGTGGTCTGATGGGGTGGGAGGACCCCAGCGAGGGGCCCTGAATACGGGAAGTGGGTCAGCATGTCCGAGCAGGGTGTGCACGAGAAAGGCGGAATTAGTCAGGTTTCTTTTGCTTGCGAGTGGTAGAATCCCAGGCTTAAATAATCAAGGAGTGTTTATTATTAGTTCATGTAACTGAGAAGTCCCGGTGGGGAACTCCGGGTTGCAGCAGCAAAGTCCACCCACATCGGTCTAAGCAAAGAGACACACCGGTCCACGGAAGGGAAAAGCGTAGCGGGATGTGGACATCAGGGCCCGTTTGATCCAGAGCGGTTGGCGTCACCAGGGCCAAGCTCTGCTCCTCTGTGATCCTCCGAGCATGGTCCCCTCCACATGTTAACTCTGTCCCTGGGCTGGCTTCCCCCTTGAGGGTGAGAAAGCTCCTCCTGAGGTCAGTGCACATATAGAAGAGAAAGGGCTTCTCTTTCTAACACCGACTAAATCCCCAACCTTCCTTCTGATGGGCTGAGGTCATCTTCTCTTTCCTGAATCATCACTGTGGCTGGGAGAATGTCATGAGCTTATTAGCTCAGCCCATCCAGGCCCACCTCTAAAGCTTGGAATGAGTCCCAAATTCCGAAATGGTGAGCAGGTGGAGCAGATGCTGGGTGAGCTACCACAAGGTCTGCTTCAGGCACAGCTGGATCCAGGTGATCAGGTGATTTCTTCAGGAACTCAGTCATTCTTTCCCCTTTTCCTGTCTCTGTTTCTTTTGCATTGATGTTGGCTTCATTCTCAAGCAGCTTTTCCCCAAGGGCTAGCAAAAATGGTCACCACACCCAGTTCCAGGCCTACATCTTAACAAATGCAGCAATATCAACAGAGAGATGGGGTTTCTTTCCAATATTTCAAGCTAAAATTCTGGTTATGACTTTCATTTGTTTAGCTTAAGTCATGTGACTATCTCTGAACCAATGATTTAGACCCCGGGAAGACTGGAATGCTCCAATTGCCCTGGCCAGAGTCACATGGTCCAGAGAAGGGTGTGGCCCCACCCAAACTCTGGACAGAGAGAGGAGGAGGAGAGGTCTTCCCATGGAAAATTGGCAGGGGTGATGGAGTGAGCTGCTATCAGAAGAGAGAATGGGCCGGGCGTGGTGGCTCACGCCTGTAACTCCAGTACTTCGGGAGGCCGAGACAGGAGGATCGCCTAAGTGCTCAGTAAGCACCAGCTCTTCTTGCTGCTACTGACATGAAATTTAACACATGGAAGAAGCTCATGTTGCATATGTGGAACTGAGGCTCAGAGAGGTTGGGCCACTTGCCCTGAGTCCCACAGCCTTAAGTGAGAACGGCCTTCTCCCCCAGGCCTCTCTTCCCAGAAGCGCCTGTGTCTGCAACTGAGCCTGCTGGTGTCAGCCATGGTCAGCTTTCCTTCCCTGGAAGCCTCCTCCCTGCCCCTCTGCTCCCTCCGTGATGCCCATTGCTGGGTGGCAGAGGCAGCCAGGGGTGGGGGAGGCGGGAGAGGGTGTGGCCTCTGGAATCAGGCAGCTTGGGTTCAGGTCCTGACTCCAACCCTCGCCCGTGGTGGGCCTTGGCCAAGTCACTCACCCTCTCTGTGCCTCAGTGTACTCAGCTGTAAAATGGGGACAGCCCAAGTTGCTGCCTCACAGGGCTCTCATGAGTAGCGTTCCAGTTCTCTATTGATGTGTAACATAGTGCTCCAAAATCTAGGGGATTAACACTAAAATTTATTATTATCGCTTATGGTTTGGGTGGTTGACTGGGCTCGGCTGGGTGGCGTTTGCTGGGGTCTAACCCTGCAGCTTCCGTTGGATGTCAGCTGGGGCTAGAGCCATTGGGGCATGACTGGGTGGGTATCTGAGATGGCCCCTCGCGATGCTGGCAGCTGGTGCTGGCTGGTGGTGGCTGATGGTGGGAAACGGATGTGGCTGCCCAAGGGTGCCCTGCTGGCCATGGAGGGACCAGCTGGGCCCTCAGAGCCTGCCGCCACTCAGCTCCCAGGCCCACCAGCTCTTGGGCCCTGAGGGTGGCATGGACTAGGCATTTGTGCCTGGCCCTGTCCCATGCCGGGAATCTGTGCCCCTCTGGCCTGCAGGCAGCGAGGCCTCCCTCAGTGATCAGTTACAACCTTCCCATGGAGCAGGGCCTGGAGTAGAGTGCATGGTGGCGTCCACGTGTCTCTGAATCTGCTCCCCCGTGCCCCTCTGCCCCCGCCCCTGCAGCTCCCAGGGGATGTCAAGTGAGTTGACAGCGCCCTCCTCCCCCATCACCGCTCTCCCCTCTCCTCCCCTCGATGTCCACTCTTGCTCTTGGCTCTGAAAACCAGGCCAACCACCCACGCACCTCAGTGCACCAGTTCAGAAATGCAAGCTGCCAACACCAGCAGGTGCTCCAGCCCCGCAGTTTTCAAACTGTGCCCTGTGTGGGCACCCCAAGGACTGGGGGTGAGAGGATTGAGGAGATGAGGGCTTATGGATGTAGCCCTGAATGCCTCCCCCTACTAAAACCAGAACATTGTTTTCACATCTGTTTTTACCAATCTGTTTTTATTTTATCTCTATTTATTAATTCACTCATTCATTCCACAAGAATTTACAGAGCACCTACTATGTGCCAGGCACTGTTCTAGATGCTGAGGGCTAGTGGTGAACCAAATAAGGCTCTTGTTTTCATGAAGCTGACATGCTGGTGTGTAAGACCAGATGATGAAAAAGCAAACGCTCAAGATTTCCACTTCTAGGAAGATGGAGTAGACGTACCTCTTCCCAATCCCTCCTGCTCAGGACAACTAATATCCCTGGACATGATACAGAAAACGGATATAAGGAGACTCTGAAAGGTGGAGGGAAGTCAGTAGGCTGGCTGGGGACTGAGGAACAGCACATTGGTGGGTTCTTTCTGTGTTACATATCCCATATTTGGAGCTGAAAAAGTCAGCAATTCAGAAATTTGTGCCAAAAAGCACAGATAGGCACAGACAGAAAAAAAAGGCCCCAACAAAAGTCTGCTCTCTCTAGCCAAAGGACCAGGAAAGGGTCAGCCTGCCGAGACAGAGAACTTTTAGCAATACCTGCTCTGCTCCAGTCACATTTCATAGGAAAAAAAAAAAAAAAAAGACCTGTGTCTCCATCCCCACCTATGCCAGCAAGTGAGTGGGGAAATTGGATTTTGCCAACCTCCCTGCCTGCTGGGATAGTGCTGGAGTAGGGAGCTGGGACTTTTATGCCCCCTGGAGAGTAACAAGCCCCACCCACCCCTGAGTGCAGTGGAGACCACGTGGGAGTGTGGACCAGGCAGTACCAAAGTGCCCCTCCCCCTCCCTGCTGGGATGGCGACCGAGGAGAACTGGCGGACAGTCAGGATTTTTGCTACTGCTCGGTGGTAATGAGCACGGTTGCCTTCCCGTGGTGTCAGGGAAGGCAACCTGGGAAGCAGTAAGGAGGCACTCCTGCCCCTCCCAGCCAGGTGGCATCAGCAGAGACCTAGTGGGGAGCCAGAACTCCCTCTCCTGCCCAGCAAGATCCGAGAACCGTCCCACCTCCAGTGTCAGTGGTGGCGCAGAGAGAAACTTAGACTTCTACCCCTACCTGGAAGCTACTGAGCAACGCTCCCCCTTCCCTTGCCAGAGTGATGTCAAAGGAAGCCAGCTAAAGGGGAAGGTTTAAACAAGATCAGGCTCTCATAAAAAATATCCAGGATGTCAAGATTGCAATTGAAATCACTTCCCATACCAAGAACCAGGAAGATTTCAACTTGAATGGAAAAAGGCAATCAAGAGATTCCAATACTGAAATGACAGAGATGTTAGAAATGTTATTATATTATATTATATACAGAGATGTTAGATGTTATTATAAAGTTGTTTCAATGAGCAATTACAAATGCCCTTGAAGAAATAAAAAGTCTCAGGAAAGAAATAGAAGACATAAAGAAGAACCCATGGAAAGTTTAGAACTGAAAAATACAACCACCAAAATAGGAAACTCAATGGTCCAGCTCAACAGCAGAATGGAGAGGACAGATGAAAGAATCAGAATGAACTTGAAGATGAGGCAATAGAAATTACCCAGTCTGAACAACAGAGAGGAAATAAACTTTTAAAAAAAATTGAACAGACCCTCAAGGACTTCTGGGACTATAACAAAAGATCTAACATTGGAGTCCCAGAAGGAAAGGAGAAAGAGGGTGGGACTGAGAAAGTACTCACAGAACAATGGCCGCAAACTTCCTAAATTTTGTAAAAGAAATAAACCTACAGAGTCAAAAAGCTGAATGAATATCCAAAATACTATAAACCCAAAGAAATCTATACCAAGACACATCATAGTCACACTTCTAAAAACTAAAGTAAAAGAAAAAATCATGGGTGGGTGCAGTGGCTTGCACCTGGAATTCCAGCACTTTGGGAGGCCAAGGCAGGAGGATTGCTTGAGCCCAGGAGTTTGAGACCAGCCTGGACAACATAGCG